GAAACACAGCCCTGAGGCGAGCCGGGATGACCCCGAGCCGGTCGCCGCCGCTGGCCGGCGTGGGAGTGACACAAGGCCCACGAGGTAGGCGTCGCTTCAGCTCTGTCCAAGAGATGCTCGGTCGTGGCGGGGGGCGGGGGGGCGTGCTCCTCCCCCTCCTCCCCTTGCCCCGTGCCAGGAGCTGCCCCCCGGGCTCAGCCAAGCCAGAGCGGGAGGAGTCAGGCATTACACCCCGCCTCAGCTAACCGCTCTCGGTTGTCCCTCGTCAGACCTGGAGTCACCCTCCCTGTGAACCCCCAGCTCTGATAATGGTCCAAGTGTCCTTTCTGTTTGCAGATGACCGCGCGGTGGGAGCGGAAGACCCCATTGACCTGGAAAGCAAACTGCAAGTAAGCCGGTTTCAAAGCTACACACTGCTCAACAAATGCCAGGCGGTTAATGTGGGTGTAAATACAGTGATGGGTGGGTTGAATACGCTTCCAACTGCAGGCAGGGCTGGCACCACGGAACAGGAGCCGTTGCTCTTCGCTGGTGTTTTTCAGTACGGAATCAGGCTTGCTGAAGGGTTCTGGGCAGCATTACTAGCAAAGCGCGTTCGGGTTCTGGTTTCAGTGGCAGCACAGCTGTGTAACCAGGTTATGTGACATACGGGACTTCTCTGCTTGCCTCTTTCCTTCCTCTGAAGTTTTGGGGAGTTTTCTTCCGAAGCCAAACACATGGAAAGCTAGACAAATTTTGCTCTGTGCACATGCTCGTTCCATTAACTGAGATTTTTCACTGAGCTGCTGAATTCCTGTGACCTAGGAACGATCCACTCAGAGAAATGGATCCTTTTAAAGAATTTGCGCTGCTTATTTTAAAACACTTCCAAGTCATTAGAGCTTACCCCGTATTACTTCTGTTAATGCAGAATACTAGGGTTTTCCCTTTACTAATCCCAGAGACAGTCCAACTTCCTTGTGTTGTCCAACCAGCACACTACAGTATAAAGCAGAAAGATGATTTTTGGAACTGGAGTATGAATTCTAACAGGAACACACTTGGTCTCACTGCAAAGACTAAGATCCAAAGCAGTGCCAGATGTGACAGGGCTTTCTGTAACGTGAGCAACTGCCTGTGTAGAACTCCGCTGAAATCCTTCCAGTACTGCAGGGAAGTTTCTAAATGGCTGTGGAATGGTGAAAAGAAGCATTTGGTGACCTTCTGTTGACTCAGGCTGGGTGAAAACAATCTTGGGACTGGAAAAGAAACATAACTGAGAAAATACCCTAACTCATCTCGATATTAAAAAAAAAACAACAACAACAAAACCCCACTACCTACCAATTTTCTGATATTTATTTTATACATTTCAGATTCTTCGGGAACAGCTGGAATCGTTGCAGAGATTTCAGCAACAGACTCTGGAGAATATTAACACGGTAAAAGCAGAACACAAATGCTCTTAAAATATAAAAGCCACCTGCTGCATTTTTAGATACTGCCATAGGTGTTTTAAGTAAGATACATTCTTAGACTATGGTGTATGTTAAGTATGCATTTAATCATCTGTCTGTCTTAAAATAGCTGGTAAAATAATCTCACTTCTAGGTTCTTCCTCTTTCTTAGTCACAGTATTATTTGGGGGCTTATAAAAGCTCAGAAAAAAAGAGGAAAAGCAAAACTGTGGTAGCAAACAAACCCCAAACCAATGGAAGGACTAGATCCTTCTCTCATTTATATCCCCGTAAACTCAAGGAAGCTCTGTTGTTTTCAAAGAAGTTAATTCCACATTATGTCATGGTCAGCAGAACCTGTTCTATTGTTGCAAACCACCATGTTTCACAACATGCTAAGCCACCTTTTCGGGAGCATTTTTCTGTCATTGTTTTACCTGGTTCTTTATCTAAAAGCTCAGTATCTGATGCTGGAAGGCCATTTAGCTATACACTTTACTGGTTAAGAAATTCCATATTCCACTTCGATCTGATCTGTCCTTCCTAAGGGAGAACTTCTTGAGTAAGGGGATGTTTTTGGAAAATGAAATATTTCTACATGATTTAAGTTTTCTGTAAACAGTCTCAATCTTTTTTTCAGGTACAGTCTAAAATCCATGAGATACTAAATACATTTGAATGGAAAACACTGTGTAGTTCCTACAATTTTCTGGAGACTTGCACACCAAGTGATGCATCTCTGGTATGTTTAACAATTTTTTTACCTACAAACAAGTTATTCTTTAGCTGCACCTTAGGTTTGGAGCGTGATGTGTCTTTTGCAAAATAACCCAAAGGGGTATTCTGGATTAAAAAATAAACTAACAGTATCTTCCCCGAGATTTTTCTGGGTAACAGAACTTTTGCCATAATTACATACACTATTCCCTTCCCCCAGTAGGATTAAACCTCAGTTTCTCTTCTGCACAGGTAAAACTGTAACCTGATCTTCCCCAAAGTAATTTATCCTCAGTGGGCACGGAATGCAACGAAGAGCATACAGGGAGACAGGGTGGAGTGTCAAGGAGAGGAGAGACATGAGGACAGAGGATATATGTTGTTTCTCTCCTATGAAACACTCCATAAACCCTACTACTTCTGTCTGCGTTTAGTGCGAGCGCTAGTTTGCCCTTTTTTCATAGGGACTGGGATCTCAAAACCAACCAAAGACAAACTACAGCCTCCTTAAGTCACGTCTCCTCTGCTGGAAATACACTCAGGCAACTTAAGACACTTCCTTGGTATTTTGTGCCTGCTCCAAAGCCCCCTGCTGAATGAAATGGGGCCTGTGATACTTGTTTACATTCCTTTAATGGGGAAATGGCATTGGCAGAGGTAAATTGTACCAGTCTTGATTGACGAGTGGCTTTAGTAACGATTTAGTTGTCTTATGCTTCCAGTAGTGCGAGTCTTCACAAGTTTTACAGCATTTTTTCCCACGTTTGTTTTTCATTTTGTGGGGTAGCTTGTGGAAAATCCTGAATCGCTGCCTTCTAAGGGAAAAGTTCATCATGATCAACAACCCTGTTCAGGTGAGCATGTGGAAGCAAATTCCAACACTGGAAACAACGTCAGCGATACAGATATTCCACACAGGATTTGGCTTAAACCCGTAGCAACTGAGAAGATTGGAAATTCAGAAGATCTGCTTGGAAACAGCAGGATACTTGCAATAAGAAGGGAACACAAAGGTGGACATCTGCTGTCTGGCGCTGGTTTGGAGGCAGGAAGGTTGAACGCTGCCCATGAGAAGGTCATTTTGAGTGAATCTAAACATCATACACCCTTTCCCAAATTTGAGAAGGAATTTCACGGAAGAGACAATGTCAGCTGTGCCACCGAGTTGCTGAAACAAGAACTTCAGAATTCAGCCAGGAAGGATTTGGGTTTGTTAGGAGATAAGACCGAAAAATCTGGCTTTTTATACAGAGGAAAATTAAATAGCTCACAAGAAAGTGCAGAAATTGTGACCTCGTCAGACGAATCGCAGCTTGGTTCAGCTCCCCTTAGAGAACCCGGCCTGCATTTCCCTCAAGAATTTAACGACGACTCCAAATGTGCCAGGGCATGGGATGGTTCTCCAGCAGCAGCATGCAGCGAGGAAGCAGGAACTCAAAGCCAAGTGCGCAAAGAGCTGATAACTGATTACAGTGACGGGGACAGATCCCAGGATCGGGTTTTTGCTGAGATGGGGCTAGATAAGCTCCTGATACTTGATAACAAAGAGCAACTAAAAATAGAAAAACCCCAACAACGGACTATCTTAACTCACCCATTTCCAAGGCCGGGAAGTCAAAAGGTCAGGGAAGTCAGAGTCGACTCTGAATACAGAAGCAAAATTGAAGCGCTGCGGAAGACCCTGGCAAATTCTGAGCCTCTGCAAAAACCAGTACGTGATTTTCTGAATGAAAATTCAGCTCTCAGGAACAAAGTGCAGCCTCTTACTGTTACCATGCAGTCTCCAAAAGAACAAATATCAAAGCGAAGTACGCAAATCAAGGATATAGCTGAAGGAAAGAAAAGTGTGCAGATCCCATTAGTTAAATCACAAGAAGATAACAAGGAATATATTGAGGAAGAAAATAACTTCCTAAGAAAATATAAAGAATGCCCAAACCAGAAAAACACCTTTGAGGAAGAAAAGAATTGGCTCCATAGTGGAAACCAATCTTTAACACAGGCACCACAGGATTTTCAAACTGGGGAACCGAAATTAGAAGAAAAGATGGCTGCAGCTCCCTGCGAAAGAGAGAAGCTCGGTCCAATCCTAACGTGTTTGCAAAAGGAATGCTTCGAGTTACACGAAAGAAATGGAGGACATGGCACAGAAATATCCCAGCTTACAAAAGGAAATAGCTCCCGAAAGCAAGAGCTTGGAAGCAATTGGGGTGAAATGCAGCAAATGAAGGAAAGAGAAACCCCCAGGAAATCTGAACTGGAAGCTCATCTTCAGTTCATACGAATACTGGAAGCCAAAAACCGTAACTTGGAAATGACCCTGCAGGAATGTTCTCGTAAGAATTGGATGCTGCGGAAGGACTTGGAGAAACTCCAGTCAGATAAAGCTTGTACAGAAAAGAAACTCAGGACTGAACTCAGAAATGCAAAAGCATATATTGATTTTTTAAAGTCTAACTGGGCCAGTGCCAACAGAGAATGCAAGAGGTTATCAACAGCAGCAACAAACATCATGGAGGAAAACCAGTCCCTTAAGAAAGAGCTGCAGGAATATAGGCAGCACTCTCCCAAGTACGAAATTAACATCAGAAAATTGGCTGAAGAACGCTTCGTATTCAGAAATCACCTGTGTACCGCTGGAAATGAGGGAAGGGTGTACCACAGCCTCTATTCCACCCTTTCAGAAAGGATTATAATCAGTGCCAAGCTGTAGCTCCAGCCCGAGGGCAGAGGAACGCTGGGTACCGTGCCGTGCAACTGTCGCTCTGAACATCCCTCCAGCGTGTGTGCAGAAACAGCTGTTCTAAGTCTAAAGCCTTTGAGTATGACCCAGAAAGTATGAGCTGTGTTTCGCAGTATCTTATTAGTTGGTTTCCTTTTCCGGGCAATTTCTGATAATCTACAACAGTCTGTTGCTTCAAATAGTAATAAACAGTTTCCTTTTGTAAAACATTCCCAGTTCTGATGCCCAGTCATTTCTATGGTTTTATTACGTCCTACAAAGAACTGTGGGGTGGGTTTTTTTGGTACGTGGCTGGATTTTGCAGATTCACAGCAGCAGATGCTTACACTTTGTTAAGTGGTGTAAAGAGATTTAAGGAAACTGTGGCAGTTTACAGGAGGTATAATTCTGTCCCTAGAATTTCAGAGTCAGAAGGGAATCTTAACGACCGTTTAGCTGAACAGCTTAGTACCTGCCTGGCCTGGGCTGGCCCTGGCTGGATGCCGGGTGCCCACCAAACGGCTCCATCCCTGCCCTCCTCGGCTGGGCAGGGGAGGGAACATGTAAGGAAAGGCTCATGGGTCAAGGGGGGTTGTGGTCAGTCCATCACACATTATTTTGGATGCTCCTTCCTCCTCAGGGGAGGATCCTCACAGTCTGCCCCTGCTCCAGTGTGGGGTCCCTCCCATGGGAGAGGGTCCTCCATGAACTGCTCCAACATGAGTCCTTCCCATGGGCTGCAGTTCTTCACCAACTGCTCCAGCGTGGGTCCCTCCCATGGGGTGCCGTCCTTCACGAG